TGTCACAAATTCTCCTAAATCACTCGTACGCACAATTTAAGAACAAATCTGTGCGTACCAACGGTTCCTGCATGAGGCCCAGTGTTTTTTTAGTTTGATCAGATCACTTTAGTTCCACCCACTTTGCACATGGCTGGCTCTTAATCACACATACATGAATCAATCTGCACCGAATTGTGTGAGACCTGCTCAGCACACTTGTGTAGTAGTTTGACAATATCACTTTAGCCCCGCCCACTTTGCCTAGTCTATTATTAGTCTATTAAACCCAGTAAACCTTTGAAGGCCACCCCTACCCCTTGGAGTTAAAGATAACCCATAAAATCATATCTTTTTCACTCTCCACCAGTACAACAGTCGCAGACACTCACCTGAACAGTGGAGCTTATTTCAGCAGCAAAGCCTCCTGTTACTGGTGCTTCATGACTGATGAGCAAACGTCCAGTTTTAACCACCGACTGAAAAACAAAAAGATTTATAGTATGTAAGTGGCAGATCCACAAACGTGACTAAATGTTMGAACACAAAACACATTTAAGCTTAAACATTTCAGAGTCATAACTTCAAGTAAAAATGATAATTATAGGTAACAATTACTGTTTGCTGGAAAAACGATTTATAGATTTCACTAACAAACATTTGCACATGGAAAACTGTACGATATACCCTTTAAAGGTTGAACTATGGAGACGGTACACTTATTTGGATGTAGACAAGTATAAGGAGTTCACATGTTTCTCTGTGCCTTGTACTATATCTGTTGTATCCCCTCAGGGTGTGTTTGTGTTTGACTGAGCTGTGCTGAATGTGTGAGGGAATACATAAAACAGGAAGGACAGCATTATGAGCTGAAGGGCTGATTTAGGCTGGCACATGGGTCTAACTGGACAATCATGGCCATTAAAAGTCTCCACCTCCCAGGCATTTCTATCTGGGTTTTCTGTAACCTGACATTACTGTAGAGGGATGCATTCACCACACCCGTTATCTACAAGAGCATAAAACCAATACTATACTATAATCTTATCCACTCACCACTTGTCCTAACCAAAGCTATGTCTATTCTTTGCAACTTCAGCACACTTATCTTTCCTATCCAGTTGTGGTAGCTTACTTTATTTCTTAAAAAAATAAAAATAGTACAAACACTTTTGAGACAGTTTTATTAACTTCTATTACATTAGATACAGTATTAATGTTGTTGTTTTTTACATTACTGACATATTTAGAAAGTCCAGTATGGTTTAAATAAAATCAAAGTCTAATGTAAGCAGAAGGAATCTCTGGTTTATGCTGAAGAAAGTATATTTTTCACTGAAATAAAAGCACTAAACAATATAGATCATTTTAAGCAAAGAGGGGAGACCATTGCATACTTCTGTATCCCCCAAAGCCACAAACCAAACTGCCATGGTAACTATATCCTGGCATACATATAGTATTGTAAATTAAGCTCGACTTCCACATACAGGCATTTTGGAGCGTCAACCTAATGCTAAACAAGAAAATGTTTACGTTGCTGATGTCACAGGTTTGGAAATTTTTCAATAAAGTAAAAGATCATTTTGAATTATTTTCTAAGCACTGTACCATTTCTGAGAAATAAACAACTAGAAGAGTCTAGCTATAAATGTGTAAACTTATTTCCTATGAGAGTTTCCACAGACGATAATTACACAACAAAATATGGACACACACCCGGAGACTTGCCCAATTTAAGTACCAGCTAAGAAACTGTGGCATTAACTAAGTGACAAATTTAACTTTAGGGAAGGATAGATACCTTTCATTATAAGGATTGGGTAGCTAAACCAGCTATATTTCATTAAGTTCCTCTGATTACTTCTAAACTCCATCCATCTATTCATCCATCCATCCATCCATCCATCCATCTATTCATCTATTCATCCATCCATCCATCTATTCATCCATCCATCCATCCATCCATCCATCTATTCATCCATCCATCCATCCATCCATCCATCCATTCATCCATCCATCCATCCGTCTATTCATCCATCCATCCATTCATCTGTCTATTCATCCATCCATCCATCCATCCATCCATCTATTCATCCATCCATCCATCCATCCATCCATCCATCTATTCATCCATCCATCCATCTATTCATCCATCCATCCATCCATCTATCCATCTATTCATCCATCTATCCATCTATTCATCCATCCATCCATCTATTCATCCATCCATCCATCCATCTATCCATCTGTCTATTCATCCATCCATCTATTCATCCATCCATCCATCCATCTATCCATCCATCCATCCATCTATTCATCCATCCATCCATCCATCTATCCATCCATCCATCCATTCATCCATCCATCCATCCATCTATTCATCCATCCATCCATCCATCCATCCATCTGTCTATTCATCCATCCATCTATTCATCCATCCATCCATCCATCTATCCATCCATCCATCCATCTATTCATCCATCCATCATCCATCTATCCATCCATCCATCCATCTA